ATTTAAACTAAATGATAAGTAATTTATTAGGTCAAAGCACTTTGATTAACGCTATTTCACGAGCTAGCGCCAAGCATAGTGAAGTAAATTAACCATGCGTATAAGTTGTAAAATAGCAGCATTGCAGTCTACTGATTTATAGTTTTTTGCAGTACTGAAAGCCTGTGAAGACGAAATTCCACCGGAATGTCACAACCAAATAGTTGAAATTAGAACAGCCATTTGTGGATGCATCGAGGATACACGGGTGTATTTGAAAAAACAACTTGCTAAGATCGCAGGGGCCATCAGAAACGTTAGTCTCCTACTATTAAATGTTGGCGATTGAAGCACTGCACTGCTTTATGACTGGGTGCACCGACCGTTTCCTGTTTTTGCACCACTGAATTTTCACATTTCCCTTGTGGCTCTGGAAAGGAATTTAGACGACTCGATAAATGAAAATTGTACATTTACTTTATGCAAAATTTATGGTGATTTATGCTAGTGACCGCAAACAGTAGGTGTAAAGCAACAACCATTCATGCAATTAATGACCTGAGTACTCCAAGCACGGTGCAAAAACGCGTGACCGCACGGGCTCGCCCAGTGCGTTCCAGCCTGGGTTTGTAAATTAATTTTCTGTTATCTGCCTCTTACGTACTGTTAGACCTATCTGCTTACTAATTTCGCAGCTCCAGAAGTGCATAACGCTTTTGACGGAATCCTTAAAATCCATTTCCAATAACGCGGTTCAAACTCTTTCACTGTTCAGCACAGCTGTTATACCTGATTTTCGGCGAATGACTTAAAATCCCAAATCGCTTAACGCAGTTCAGGGAAATACATTGAGCACTGTCAAAACTGAAAATTTTCAAGGACGAAACTGTTTTCTTAGTCTTTTTGTACTGCAGGTTGTTGAAGCGAACGATCGCGGTGCGGCATCAATCGGAGGCGGCAGCAAAGTGGAGTCATGCGTAGCAGTCATCAAAAGCTTAGTGTTCGCGCTACTTCCTTTCGGCCACATATCCGCTAAAATTTCAATGCGTTTCGTGTGGCGACGCATGGATGTTCCGTTCTAGGGCCGCAGTGTCCAGGCTGATGGATCGTAACTCGTGACGGACTAAGCCACGAACTGCATATTCGAATAATACCTTCGTGCTGGCGGGCACGGCGCATTGGGAACTAGCGCTGTTGTCATGTAGTGGGTCGAAGGTTCTATTCCGCCGTTGCGAAAACCAATTCCTCTACGATTTGTTCATTCGTTTCAATGGTCGTGGTACCAACCCAGCTGGTATTTGAGCGCATAGTCGTGGGTGAGGAAACATTGAGTCGGATGCTTGCATGTTGATATGAGAAACTACTTTATGGCACCATTTTTCTTGCCAGAAAATGCAGGTTTTGGGTCGTTCACGCTACTTTATGCGATGAACCTTAAAATTAAACCCTTAAAATTTAGAAAAATTATAGATTTTGCCTGGATTTGGGTATGAAATCAGAGATTCGGGTACACACCAATCTGGAAACTAACTCCAAGCTAATTTATTCACATTACGTAGTGAATGGAACCGCGGAAATTTCGAATTTAGAGCTTGTTTTTGATTTTTAAGATTAACTGTAGACTGGACCTGCGGTCCTGGATCAGATCAAAGAGCGAGTTGAATGTTGAGAATCCAAGGTTCAGTATGCATAATGCTTTGAAATTCAACAAACAAAAGATTGGGCAGGAGGGACGAATGTACAATAAAGATAAAGCATGTAAGCGATGAACACGACCGAGGTGTGTGTTTATCAGATATGTTTAGCAAGACAGATACAGTTAATTGGTTTGAAGTTATTGATGGCGCGTTGCGGCGTTGCTTGGCCAGCAGTTCGACAGGACAGAATTTGGGCTTGGATTCCCTTATAAATGTCGGCTGTCGAAAGGTTGATTTCTCTTGTCTTTTATTTTCAAAATAATCTCATTTCAGGGACTTTTCAAGACTATGTTGATCTATTTTTATCAAAGCAGTTTCATCTTAGCGGGCGCTGGTAGCCGTGCTTGCTTCTGCATAAAAATGCCAAAAAACATAAAATAAGCAATATGCGGTATCTTATATCTAAAAGGTATAGATGCGTCAAATGCGGTACACGCTGCTGCTCGTTTTGAAGCGAGTTGGTACTCAAAGAGAATGTTTTGTGTTCTATCTTTTTTTTTGAACAGGTGATAGCAGATCCTACAGCGCACGTACAACTGAAGGCGGGTTTCGATTTCATTAACAATCTTATCGATGCGATGGTCAACCGGTCCGGGCGTTTTTGTGGAGGAGTACATTGCAGAAAATGAATTCGCATGTGGGCGAAGTTGGGCGCTTTATTCGGATGTGTGCGGTCTTTCGTTATATATAAAAATCTGATCCTAATTGAAACGTTTAATAAACTTGTTTTTTTTTTTTTTTTTGGTTTGTGTTATCGCGCATTCTCAGAATTGCAAGCAAATTGCTGGCGTATTTGCTTGTCTAGAATAACCTAGCTACCGAATATTTCTTTCAATAACCAGTTATGTGCCCTTGGAAGAAATCGAGTATCATATCTTTTGGTTTTCATTACGCGTTTTTGCTTATATGCGAATGCAAAAACACATATTGTGACGATCCCAGTGTGTGTGTGTGTCTTCAACTCAACACCCAAGCAGGCTCCGGCGCCAAAATTTTGCTGATGGGTCCCTCGACCAAATGCTACCCCAGGACCGCGGTACCAACTCTCATGCAAGTCTGGGTCCCGCGTACGAGGGGGTAGAAGTTTTGGCTGGAAACCACTAACTCGGGAACCAGAAAAGTTGGAAAACTGAAATTTCGTTGTGTCCCCCGTCTACAAAGAACGCAAAGATTTCAAATTTAGTCCCCAGTTGTACGCGGTCCTCGTGTATGGCTCCGTGAGGGCTCCTGGCGCGAAAATCGCTAACTTGGGAACCAGGGAAGGTGGGGAGCTGAAATTTCGAGGGAATGTTCCTAGCACAAGTTCAACTTAAAATTATCAAATTCAGCTCCTCAACGTGTGTGATTTTCACGTACGGCCCCATGAAAATTTTTGGCAGGAAAATTGCTAACTCAAGGACCAGAAAATTTAGAAAGCTGAAATTTCAACGAAATGTTCCCTGTCCAAAATACCGTTCCGGACTGCGAGGACCAGTATATCACACGTTTCTAGCTCCTGGGTTTCCAAGCGATCTCATTACAGCACGAAACATTGCAAAAACGCATGGGCCTGCCTGGTGCGCGTCGCCAATGATTTTGAACTCTTGCAACTTTTGTCAGCTGTGAGGCGAACATCTTGATGTTTTGGAACACTCAAAACATCATTCACAGTAATAGAAAGGTATTTTGAAAAAGGTAATGGAAGAGAAAATAATATTGAGAAAACAAGAAATTATTTTAATAAAATTATTATAATGGCTAGAAATGTTTGGGTAAAGCACGTGCGGCTTAAGGCCTGCTACTGCGGAGCTGACTGCAGCGTAATTCGCTAATTCGTTTCGATAGTATGTCAGTGTTCATAACAGGCCTTTATTTTTCTTCCATAGCAATTCTCAGAAATGCAAATCATAGAGGATTCTGTGAAAAGCCGGCTGCTGTTTTTGAATCACTGTCACTCGGGCCACCAATTCATGAATCATTTCAATTTTGAGAAGGCGAGGACTTAATTTTGACATTTCCACATTATTAATATGATTTCGTTCAGCGCTTCAAAACATGCTCCTTTGATCTTTATACATTTTTGCATCATTCTTGTGTATGGTAATTAAGCAATTCAGATAAACTATTATTTTCCGAAACTGTGCCTTTAATGAATAAAAAAAATTTAGTCGGTTTATAAATTGCATCGATGGTTATTCCGACCGAGCAACATTTACTTCCTTTATTGATAATTATCAGTTTCGTTTTTCAGACCGCAATGGTTTTTAATACCTCGCACTGTGTTGAATTTGCACTAGTTATTATCTAGATGCTTATTTTACGAGGAGATCACTCTAACTTTTCCTAGAATGCTTAAAGGTTACTAGATCCTTTGGTTTAGAAATAAAACACGTCTTCTAAGGAGTTGATGGATAAGCTTTTTTGTGCATCAGGACGATGCGAAAGTTGTGGGCTAGAAACAGCTCAGAGGTCCTCATTGGCTTTGGTCAATGCAACTTTAAAGCAACAGTTGGCAGAATCGATTTTCATTATTTCTATTAAAGAACTTGTATTTTACAAAATGAGTAACAAGTGCAAAAAATCACAGGTACCGCCTTTGCGACCGCCGTAAAGACCTCATGATTTGCTTTTTTTTCTTCAATTCGGAGTGAAATTGCCAGCTTGCATTGAAACCAATAATGAACAGTATCAGTGAAAAAAGCGCAACCAAAATGTGTGATTGCATGTAGTTCCTGGAAACAAAATTGAACCATTAAATTTCACTGGATTTCCGCAATGTTGCGCTAAAAGTTTTAGCCAAAAGAGAGGCGGGACGGGATGAGAAAAGTTGTTGTTCTTTAATAAATTTTGTTAGAGATATTTATTACTCTGTTGTCAGCTAATTCTATAAGATCAAAACAAGTACTACTTAGAAAAAGTATGTCCTTGCTTCATGTGCGCACGTGAAAGCTTGAAAAATGACGATTTTTTCGTCAGTCAACCAAATAGCGTTAAAAGAGTTTTAGTTTTCCTCTAAGCGCACTGAGTTTTTTAGAATGCATAAACTTTCAAGCAAAATTTAGCCTTCAACTGCTGTACAGTGCATTGTCTCGAGCAACTCACAGGGCTACTTCCAATATTCGTTGTTTATGAGAGGGACAGCTGCCCACCTGAGAGGCGAAAAACGAAATACTCCCGCAGCATATAGGTCGAGAAATCCAATCACTGTGCACATTGTGAACAAGCTGATGATGCAGAACAAAGACAAGACGAAATGTATTTGTAGTAGTTGAGTTGATCTATATCGCCAACCAACGTACAAAAACCAGAGCAGGCGCAGCTGCGTCAGTGCGATGACTGCGAGCAATACTCCTAGAAATGTTTTGTAAGTAAAATAAAAGCTACAAGTAGACGAGCATCCAAGAGCAGCAGCAGAGCGGAGAACAGCCAAAATTTGTTTGACCAAAGTGTCATTCTTGTTCCTTTTTTAAAATACATTCTTTTTTTTATAAACTTTGGCCTTTTGACCTGTTTGGTTTGTACTCATTCCCAAATTTGGGCCTAGCTCGAGGACGAATAAGTTCTGAAAATACAATTCCGCACCATGCACTCTACAGTGAGCTTAAAACCAATCTGTAGCTCAACAACCAAGCAAGCTTCTGCGCTAAAATTTTGCCAGTGGGTTCCCTGAGCATCTGTGAACAGGAACTTAGCATTACGCTTTTTTAAGCCCTCCCCTCGTACAGATCTGTATACGTTAAAGTTCTGGCAAGAAAAATCGATAACTTGGGAACAAGAAAAGCTGGAGTAGTGAAATTTTAAAGGGTTTCAAACTTAGCTGCGTGGTTCTCAGGACACCTGAAAGATTTGCGGAAAAATTGCTACCTAGAGGACTAGAACAACTAGGCTATGTTCAACGCAAATTGCTCATTTTTCAGGATGCGAAATTTAGGATGATTTGTTGTAATATGTGCACAAGTTAAGAAACATAAAAATTTCGAGCAGTAGCCATTCCTGTTATTGAGTGCCTTCTGATCAGCCGGTAGTTTCTCTTAGCATCTTTTTTTAGTTTCTCAAAAATTAATTCTTCCCTGGTTTTCTACGACTATAGCTTGAGCAGTGCATAAATTTTGAAAGCATTATGGCTCAGATTTGGTGGAATTTTTTCCTTTTTTCCTCTTAAACATAAACTCTTTCTAGCTTCTCTGCGACTATTGTTTCAGCGGTCTCTAGATTTTAACGTTTTTTGAGAAGAGTTTCTTACCCTTGATCTCTTTTCTTTTGCTTACTTGAATACTTGAGTAGCTGTATGTCATCGACGTCCGTTATCAGGCCATCGATGCAGCAGGCAACTTCTCCATTCGATCCGCTGCTGCGCTCTCAGAATCCAAACGATTGCGTACCACGGGGCTCTTCAATTCATTGATGATCTCCCCGAATGGTATCCGAACGCTAAGTAAGCGATCGCTTGACTGTGCGCGGATACCATTCCGTCATTCGCTTCGTTCATCTATTACCTGACATCCATGCCACATGACCAGCCCATTTCCTCTTTCTGGCGTACATTGCTTCAATAATATCTTTCACGCTAGATCTGGCTCGTAGCACTTCATTTGAAATGTGCTGTAGCCTGTTGGCGCCAATCATTTGCCGCACCATTGCTCTTAGTGAGGAAGCCAATTTCCGTTCTTCAGCAAACGTGGTGTTTCACGACTCACACCCATATAACATGGCTGGTAGGACGGTCGAATTATAAACTGCTGATTTTGCAGATGAAGTAATCTTCTTGTCGCAGAATATTTCGCGAAACTTGGCAAACGTTATCCACCCTGTTCTTATTTTTCTCGCAGTTTCTGTGCCCAAGTCGTTGTTCATCTGCACTACTTGTCCCAAGCAGGTATAGCTGCCCACAAGTTCGACAGAGTCTTTATCCAGGTTCATCGCAAACCGAGGGCCGTAGGCGTTATTCATCCAGCTGGCTTTACTGATTTTAACTGTGCGCCCGATTGTCTTTGTCCTCGCTGTGAGCTCATTCAGCAGATTCTGCAACGATTGAGGGCCTTCTGCGACAGGGGCTATGTTGTCCGCAAATAGTAGCATCTGCAATTTCTTGCCGGCGTTACTAATTCCAGCTGCTGCATCCATACTTCTGAGAATTCCTTCTAGTGCTAGTGAAGGCTTTCGGAGAGCAGATGTCATCTTGTTTCACTCCTCGTTTTACATCTACTGATATAGGGTCATCGAAGAGGGTGACTTCTGTATGCGACCCTGTCATGGAGTCATTAATGACAGCAAGGAATGATGGATCGACTCCTTAGCTCTCAAGAGCATTAAACACAGCGCTGTGTTCAACTGAATCGAAGGCTTTTCTAGATCGAAGCGTCCGATGTACTCTTCTAGTCTTCTTTGTCGAGGCGTTGAAATCTCCAAGAGCGATTGTATGTGTAGCCTGTTGTCGCAGCGAGGCTTCAAGCCCTTCGTGAAACGTTCAACGTCTTTGTGTTTGCTGCTGAGGCGGGCGCATAGACGACAATGAGCTTCACTGTGGCTTTTTCGTTAATTCGTACAACAAGCGCTCCATTACTCGAGAACTTGATCTCGTATGAGAGAATTCGACTTGTTGCCGTTGACCTCACAATGATTCCAATGCTGCCCACTCCTCTGTCAGCTGCTCCCAGCATGACCTGAGTGTCATCACCAAATTTCCTGGTTGACGCGATCCTCTGCCTGGTTTCATTGACGAGAAGGATGTCTATGCAGATGTTGTGGAGTTTACGTAACAAGAAGTCAACAGCCTCGTCGCTGCTTAACGTGCATACGTTTAACTTGCCCGCACACATAAAAATATCGGGTGACGGTCTCAATACTGCGAGATTCTTAGCACCCTCTGCTCCCTCGTCAATTCGAGTACCGTCACTGTGAAGGCGACAGGAAGCTGCGCAAGACTGAGGGCCATTTCTTTTGAACTTCTGTTTCATAGATGCTTTGACCAAGGCTACATCGCCTGGTGGTCAGCCTTCAGGTGATTTTAGCGTTCTTCGTCCGCCGAAGGGGTTGCCTGCTCAATGACTCGCACAGCGGAGGCACATTGGCAAGGATTTAGCCGCTTGGAGCTTCATCGATGCGTGTTAAGCATCACCATTTCGCCTCCGAGCGTTGCCACTCCCAGACCACGGTGAGGTACCTTGCCGCCTGGGAGTCTTTTCTTTTAGTCACCCAAAAATTAACTTTTTCTAACTTTCTGTGCACACTGCAGACTCCAGATTTCAAAAACATTTGGGCTGATATTTTCGAGTGCTCGCGTGCCTGAGCTGCTTTTTTCCCACAGCTTTTCCTTCTACCGGATTACTACATGCATACCAGATCTATCATTCATTTTTTTCAGAATTCCCCAACAAACTTTTCATCTGCACGGGTTTCGAACTAATTTCGGTGAGAAATTGTTTCCTGTAAAATCAAAAAAAGGCGGATTTCTTTCTCTACTATCAAATTTCGAGCGTTAATTAATTTTTCGGACGATTAATAAGCCTATCGCTTCTCATTTTCATGCGTCTATTTCAAAATATTCCCCACATCATGTCCCATAAATGGCTCGATGCAGATGTTTTTGTTGCTAGCAGCACCGTTATGTTTCCAGTAACTTAATTGAATTTCAGTTCCATCAGCTGTGGTTTATGATACTGAACAAGAAATCTGATGCCAAATTAAGTTAGCAAACACAGACTTAACTGTTTTTGTTCAGCATCCGGTTTCTTGCTTAGCATTACGAACCCATAATGATCTTTATTCCTGCCTTTACTTCCTGCCTCCAGGTAAATACCCCAGCTCCTTTCCGGTCAATATTTGGGGCTCCTCCCGTCTTTCCGGCAAATTGAAATTGAAGCTGCTTTTCAGATTAACCCAAAATCCGGAATGCGTATCACAATTTTCGTAACTCCCCCAGCAATCTGGCAGAGTCGAAGTCGAATTTTAGTAATTGCTTCAAAAGTATTTTTGAAGCGCCTCATCAGCAGAAACCGTACTACCGCCTCCTAGAAAGTAACGAACCATTAACAGGCTTTCGGAATGCCAGTCCTTGAAATAGAGAATATGTAATGGTGAGCAGCACCAGGAACAGTGTGGTCGTCGCTGTATTCAATAATCGAATGTCTGAAACCCTTATTTTGAAAAAGAAGTAAGCGACCTAATCCCCATGGGATCGTTACAGAAGATGCTGCAAGACGGTAAGAAACGGATTCCGTGATTCACTACATTTTCACTTTGGTAGCTCCAAGTAAAAATTTTGGCAAAAAATGCTACTGCATTACCTGGGACACGGAGCCAATGCGTAAATCGCGACCGATCACTTTGCCGATATTCGGCCATTGTTAGGAACGCAGCCGCGCTTACCGAGATCACAAGACAAATGAAATAAAAGCCACTTTTTATCTGTCAGGCGCCTGAGAAAATCAGCTAACATTCAAATTTGATTCATTTTAGCTGAAAAGCATACACTGTTCAAACGAAGAATTCCATTTTAACGCGTTTTGCGAAGCAGCAGCGGTGCAAAACGCGAATTGCCGATTATCCGTATTTAGACATTTGCCCGTTTCTGTCAACTCAGTAACCGAAAAAACATGAAACCTGAAATTTTGGGATAACTTTTTCTGTCCATGTTCCATCCCGCTAACTCGAAATTAGCTATGCTACACGCCTACTTCTCACAGGCCGACACAAGAGAGTTTTGTCAGGAAATTTTCTAATTCATAAATCAGAAACGATAGAAAATCAAACTTCACATATTTTTTGTCTGTTTGCGATAATAGAAATTTAAACTCAGCTTCTTCGTACACATAGATCTCACATACGGACACGTGGAAGTTGAAACTGCAAAGAATCATATGCAGCAGGTGTCGTCGATCTCCGCTTATACGTGAAAGAAGGGCAGAACTTGAAGCAAAATGGATGCAAATCTTAGCAAAAGAGGTGCAAAAATCAGTGGAAAAGGCAGAAAACTTTGCCCAGAAACGTAAAATTTTGGCACACGAGGGAAATTGTGGCTATTCACGTTTCCAGTTAGTAATGCATTCATCTGCCACCCACGTACCACCCGTGTGGCGCTCACGCGTCTCTCACGCAACGCCCAAACTTCGCTCACACAGTACCCCGTATATGCGACTCTGAGCTACAGAATGATTGACAAAGAGCCGCATCCATTCTCTTTCCCGCCTCTTTCGTTATTCAGCCATTCATTCTTTTACTCGCCGTTGCACTGTTTCGAAATTCTACAATGTTTTAAATAAATTTACTTCATTTGACTCAATTCGCACAATAGATTCATGCAGAATTTATTTATACAGGGGTTAGAATTGAATAAAAACGTGGTACTTTTCGCATGTTTGTTTTAATAGTTACACACAAAACTGAATATATCAAGAGTTATTTGAGAAGCAGACTGAAATAATTTTGGGCAACTTTCAGCCTGGGAATGCGGGAACGAATTCACCAACGAAACGAATAAGCGAAACGTGGAGAAAACAGGATTTCCCATCGGCAAAAATCTGAACTGCAGCATCACACAGCTTCCTTCGAATCATGATGTCTCTGGGCAAGCTCTGTTTCCTGTGTGAGTAAATGGTTAAGATACAGAGTAACAACTTCAATGACCGGTCACGTTCAATTTTGAAAAAAAAGCTACATGATAACATCAGATTCCAAAAAATTCATCAGGATCAGCTCATGAGATAAAACTCATGCTGGCTAAGGAACCGTTAACCGGTGCTTGGATTCCGTTTCTAGGAGCAGAAAAAGCCAAATCAGTTCTATTAACCTTCAACTAAGTTCATTTGTTCTGGTAGTAAATTTGTATAGTCCGTGTGCCAGGGTGTGACCATCAGCTTACTTCTGAACATGTCTGGAAGAGGGAGAAACGTAAGTTGGTGAATGCTTCTAGC